AAACAATATTTTTTCTATAATGCTGTGCATACTGAATTAATGACTTAGCTACATTAAGAATTCTCTTTAATAAACATCCCAAAAAGGCTACTTAAGTCCAATTTTCCTCTCACAGTAAATATTGAATTTTCTTATTCCAGTTTACAACTGCTTTAAATAACAAGGACGAATTTACCTCTTTACTCTTAGATTAATTCAAGACATTTTGATTCAGTGTATATGGCAATGAATCTTCATTTCCTAACCACCAGTATGTAGTTTTATTTTTGTTGTTCTTTAATATGGATGTTATACTAACAACCACTGTGTATAAAAAAACCTGTATGATTATCCTATGGTTTCACAAATCTTTCTCTCAGTTGCAATTTCTTCTCAAACAAATCTAGATTAATTAATGTTAAAAACATAGTGGATGTTCCCCTTCTAATTTTCTATCATTCCCACCTGAAAGAGAATTTTTTAAGAATGATTTTGCTAAAATTGCCCATATTATTAAGATGATTTAAAAACAAAAGACGGGAACAAGAAGATGTACTGCTGGCATGTAGACTGCTTTGTGGACCTCTCTAATAAATCATCGGGAAAATGTTTAATAGTTTAAAAAATAAACAAATATGGCAGTGGTCCCAAATTTTGAAAAAAACAAAACAAAAAACCCCACACCAAAACCTTCCACTATTTAAAAATGTTTTAAGTGATTTTAACAGGTTCCCAATTCTTGGAGAAAGACAATAATCCAAACAGTATAACAAAAATCAAATGGCACACATTGCTTGCCACAAAGTTTCTTCAAAGCAAAGTGATTTCTTTGGAATCATTGATCAATGTGCCTGCAATTCATTATACTCCCTTCTCCTTTCTGTTTCTAGGGGAGTCTGCTGAATTTGAAGTTTCCACTCCATTTTCTACCCCTTTCCTACTTGATCTTCCTTTCACTGTTGTCCTTTTCTTCTTCACACATGGGGCCTCAAGAATAGACTGTTCCCACCACCTCTGAAGCTGGATGTTAATTAAGTTCCATGTTAAGAATGCCTGGATAGTACAACTAGAAGACAGGACGGCGATTTTTGCAGCCAACACATTGAAATTTCCAGCAATGATATCAGGCTTCTGAGTCTCTGATCCCGCAAGGTGAAAGGCAACAGTAAGTACTGAAACTATTAAAATCAGCAGCCTTCCCAAAATAATCACAACTGCCCATAGGGAAAACCCTTTCTCATACTTCTCGTCACTCAGATAAAACAGGTCACACATGTGGGAAAGCAATTCAACAAAATAATGTGACACCAAGAGAACAAGTCCCAGATGATTCAAGAACAAAAGGTAAGCTCCAGCAATGTGAAACAGGTGAAGACCATAGTAGATGAGTTGGCTAGGAATGTCTTGTTTTTTGGTTTTCTGGATGTAGAGTTCTGGAAATGTATGTAGCCAGTAAGCCAACTGCGATATGTAGAAAAACTTCATTTGAAATGTCATCATGTTCTGGGGATGAGCTTTCCATAAGACAGTAAAGTCTGAAATGTAGTTTTCAGAGCTTAGAATGAGGGTGCCCCAAATACAGGATACTAGATAAAATACACTAAGCTGACCAGATTCCTTAAACTTGCTTTGTTTCATTCGGGGACACTGCATTTGCCTGATAATTTTATCCAGTATATACTCCTGAATTGTGGCGTGAATGATTATTGCCACTAGCATGTAGAAGAAAACTGTGGCCAAATCTTTGACACCATAATTATAAAGGGACCTAGATTCCATGGCTTGGTCTTTGGCTGCAGGGGCAGTAACGCAGTACTGAAGAGTGATAAAAACAATAGACACTTCTGCGGTCGCCTCGAACATCAGCCCCAGCACGAAGAACATGCCCACAGTGGAGACAATATCCGCATGATTCTTCAGGATGAATTCCTGGCTCAGGACTGGAGGGTTCTTGGGGTTCTTCTTGCGGATCGCCATCGTGGCGCTTCCCAGATACTCACCGAGGAGCAGCAGCTGCCTCCCATCTGGCTGCACTTCACAGCGCCACCTCTGCGCCAGGGGCTTTACTTCCCCTCTTAAGGGCCGGGCGCGGGGCCCTGAGGCCACCCAGCGAAATAAATCAAAAGCCAGAGCCAAGCGCGGCGCGGCTGAGCATGCGCACCACGGGGACGACGGAAGCAGGGAAGGAAATCGAGCGCCGCGCCCCTGCCCCGCGCCAGACCGGCTCCACCGTGTTGATCCTCCTGGTTGATCATTATTGAGAACCGCTGCCGCCTTCAAAATGCGATTCTCATTTCTTTCAAAGATATATTTTATCAGTTGTCAAGAAGAGAGCAGGATGATGCTTTGGCTGTTCATCAGCATAAAATAATAATAATAATAATAATAATAATAATAATAATAATAATAATAATAATAATAATACAATCATAGCAAACACGTCTGGTGATTTGGTGCACACTATTTTCTAGATGTTTATTTTAAGCATTTTACATTTGTTTACACGATTAACCTTAAACAGCTCAACAAGTTTTAACAGTAAAATTTAAAAAAAGGAGATACAGATTTTAAAAGTTTGACAAGAACATATATTTGGTGATGCTAGACTCAATATTTGTGTCTAATCTGGCTCTAAAGCCTCTTCTCAAGTATGCTATAGTATCATTCATTTTTTAGCATGTAAAGTATGTTTCATTGTTCTTTAAAAGGGATTCAAGGTTTGGTTTGAAACCAGGCTACACATCTCTCATCAGTGTGACTTCTCTCTCACCATGTAATACATCACTAAATCCAAAAGGAAAATTATTCTTAATTTTGGGGGGGGGGGGGAAAAACAGTTTTGGAAACAATTAACATTAGTTTGTAATTTAAAACCAATTTGTAAATAAAAACAGAGTTAATGTTTCATGTTGCTTTATACACTCATCCATACAAACCAGGATTGTAATTTTACCAGCTCAAGCAGGCACTGATACTGATTGAACAGTCCACTCCACACACACACACACACACACACACACACACACACACACATCAGTGTGTCAAAGGGAAAGGATTTCTTGCGGTATCAATCAAAAACCTTGAAGTCAACAATTATTCTGGGTTTAAAAAGTATACCATTTTGATCTTTAGCCTGTGTCAAAAGTCAGCTGTCACATCATCTTTTATTATTTATCATATTTGAAAATATTTCACTAGTTCAACAACTAAAATTGTGTTATTTAGAAAAATTCATAGCTTTTGAGTCCAAATGGGCTCAAAAATGGTTCCATAGTGTCTTTTAGTAGATTGTAAATAACAGAAGAAATTGCCTACCTCTAGTCTCTGGAGCTATGGTTGGATTCGAACTAGTAGGGTCTCCATTTTTATACCAGCAGCATAACTTCACAAGGACTTTGCTACCAGAGCTCCATTTAAAAAATAAAAAAATAAAAAAAAGTTAGTAGGTGGCTTTGATCAGACAATTACACATAAAAAAAAGAGAAGTCTGGTACCATAGTCACTAAGGAATCATCTAACTAAATCAAAAGTGGCACCTATCTGGAGGTTAGAAACTACCAATGCTCATCTGGAGAAAATGGAGAAATCTATTCCCAAGTGATTTACAGCCTCTCAAAACTCTGGAGGGTCAACTATGAACCAGTTCTGAATCAAGGCAATAAGTTTTAAGAAAAATGATTGAATAATAATAATTGTGGTAATGATATTGTCTACTTAATACTTTTATTTTAAGAGTGCCTCATTATTGCAATAGGAGACTATGTTCCAATTCTCAAAAAGGTTTATGGGTTATAAAGTCACAAATGAAATTTATTCAGTTGAAGAGGTGAAAAAAGATCTTATATTTAATTACAATAATTCTTACAATGTTTTCTCAAAAATTCAAACAGGAAAAAAGCCCTTCAAATAGCAGCACCCATTTCAGTTGTAAATACACTGTTCTGAATTAAATTCTTTTTTAAAAAAATCCAGAGGAATTTTTTTAGTACTTCTGTGCTTATAAAATAATAAGGTTTGAAATTCAGAATATGAATGCCAGAAGAAAAATTGCTACAATTTACTGGGGTGAAAAATGTACATTAAATTTACAATATCTGGTGATGTAGTGTGTCAAGTACTGCACAGCAACCCAGAAGGTCTTTAGTTTGAATCCATTAACTGCTACGTCCTCTGGAGAAAGGGCGGTGTCCTACCATAAAAATTTATAATCTCAGAATGTACACAGTTTCACAGAAGCAGTAAATCTCAAGGATAGGAAAATCCATCTTCCCCTCCAGAGCAGATGACAATTTCAACCCATGTGTTCACTTGGTTATTTGGTTTGGGTGGTTTTGGGTTTTATTTTTCTCCCCCCAACTTTCTTTCTTTTTTTTTTTTTTTTAATCTTTGCTTCTTTGCAAGTTTCTAGCTAAAGATGCATTTCAACTTGGCAAAATTACTTAGAAGATACTGAACAAAATACTGAGATTAGTATACAGGGCCATCTCAAGTTTCCTAAAACAACCTACAAATAGATTATGGAATTGGAACGGAAAACATAACATTGTTATTGTTTGTTAGGTGACATTGAATTAAGTATGACTCATAGAAACCTTAAGAACAAAAGATCCAAACCCTGTTCTATCCTGCACCATCCTCACATTTCCTAACATACAAGAGCCCATTGTCACAGTCCCTTTGTCAATACACCTAGTTGAGGATCTTCCTTTCCTTTGCCAATTCTTCACCCTTCCCAGCATTGTGCCTTTTCCAGGGAATAGCACCTTGTAGAAAAATTCCCTATGTATGTGAGGCAAAGCCTCATCATTTTTGCCTCCAAAGAGTACCCCGCTGCACCCTCTCTAAGAAATACCTGTTCGTTCTCTTGGCCGTGCAGGGGATTTTCACTGTTCTCCAAAACATAGCTCAAAGGCATCAATTCTTTTTCTGTCATCCTTATTCATTATCCAGCTCACACATGTATAGCAAGTAATAAGAAAGACCATGGCCTGAATCAGACACGCTTAGTCTCAAACCGACATCATTATTTCTCAATAGTTTAAAGAGGTCACTAACTGTAGATTTTTCCGAGTTCAATGTGTCTCCTTATTTCCTTGCAGCTGGTAGCAAAGCTGTTAACTGTGGATCCAAGCAAGATGAAGCTAGTGACAGTTTAAATCTCCTCTCTTTCCATCAAAACGCTGCCTATCAGTCCAGTGGTAAGAATCTTTGTTCTCTTGACTTTGAGATGTAATCCATACTGAAGGCTGCATTTCTTGATCTTCTCCAACAAGTGCTGACTTGAGGAAATTAACTATATTTTTCCACAGAAAAAATTCTGGTTTCTTGAAAAATTCCTTATGGGGAAAGACAAGTTCTATAATGATCTGTTATACTGTCTTTGTTTTTTATCATTGGTACTTTTTAAAATTGTACTAGTATATTTACAAAATTCTAAAACATTGTTTTCAAGAACAGATTCCTCCAATTTCCCTCACCCCACCCATCAAATTGTACAACTTCATGATTTATCTCCCCTACCCCTGCTCATCCTCATCCTTCTGTTTCCACTCTCTTCCTCTCCACCACGCCCCGACTCTTTTCCTTAATTATTAACTCTGTTATTAATACAGCTTAAGCAGTCTAAATTTTGAATTCAAATTTTACATTACATGTAGTTTAAGTAACTGGATTTTATATCTAAATTTCATATTGTTGTTGTTGAGTGCCGTTCAGTGAGAACTGACCTATAGCTAGTTGTCCCTTGGGCTGATTTTCAGAATCAGTTAATAACAGGGAAATGTCAAATTTCTTTAAATTACTGAACTATGTAAGAGAATTAAAACAATAATTTATAGGATAGAATTTTCTAATATTCTATTAGCACTTTTATTTAACAAAGAGAAATATGTGTGAGAATATTGTCAGCATTTCTGATGTCATTATTGCTATTATATAGTTACCTATTTGTCTTTCTGTTTCCGATAACATGCATGCTTGTGTTGTATTTGTATACTTGCTTGTTTTATGGTTTGTTCTTTTGAGTACCTGTCTCATAACTGGCTGTCAAATTGCTGTGTTGGAGGATGATTGTGTATTAGGGCTTATTTTGTAATTTATATGTGCTTCTTTGTATATATTTTGGTGTTACATGTGTAGCATTTTGTCATTTTTCTGTAGTGGGGTTCTCTGCATGCTGTTATTGTAAATTATACTATTAATATTTAAAGTAATAGGGTTATCCATGCTGGACCGGTTTCAGTGGAGCTTCCAGATTAAGACAGGAATGACAGTCCACTTAAATAATATGTTTTGGAAACCCCACCCCCCCATAAAAAGGGGAACATTGTTAGATAGAGTACAAGAAGTTGAAGTCTTCTTATTAGAAGATACAATAAAGGAGAAATTATGCCAGTGACTAGAAGAAACAAGAAAAACAACTGAAAACATCCATTAATAATTGGAACATGGAATAATTCTCAGTATTAATCTAGGAAATTAGAAGTTGTCAAAAATGAAATAGGACACATAGAGATCAATACCATAGGTATAAATGGACTAGGATTGGCCAATATGAATCAGATAATCATAAAATCTATTGTGCCACAAATGGTGAATTTAAGGAGAAAGCTGTTATATTTATGATAAAGAAGAGCATTTCAAGATTTATCCCGAGGTACAATGCTCTGAATAAAAGGATATGCTCCATAGTCATGCAAGGAAGAGCTACTAGTACAATTTTTATTCAAATGTGCAGAACAACCACTAAAGTAAAACATTTAGAGAAAGTATATAATACCTGGATTATAGGTTACATGGGACTATGATCCCTGAAAGAAAAAAAGTGTGGCAAACCCATAGTTGCCCTGTTTACTGCTCAGAAGCATTTTCCAGATGACTATGCAATGTCTTTTCTCTTGAGGTTTCATAAAAGAATATAAATGAGTAAATATAGATTTTATTATATGCTTTGCATCCTTAATTTTTTTTAATTTTTT